GACGAAAGGATACTACCTCTTGCGGCAGGGGACTCCTTTTAACCGCGTGTTATCTTCGTACGACGCGCATAAACGGGTGGGTTCACGGGAAGAAATAGAGAGTGGATGAAATAGCTAATAGAGAAGGTGGCAGTTCGCCTCCGCGCGTTGGAACGCAGGGAGGGAGCGGGAGGGGGAAGGGGGGAGCGGGCAGAGTGATTTAATCAAGTCGGCTGCATTCGATTATCGGCCCGCAGTTACGTGGGTCGTTACGTCGTTTCTCCGAGCAGAACGTGATTCGCCGCCTTGCGTTAATTTCGCGCTCGTGCACTCGCTTCGCTCTCGTTGCGCTCAGATCGAGAGTCTCGACGTGCTCTCGTGTATTGATAAAAATGTTGCCCCTAGTAGGAGGAGAGAGTCCCTTAGAAAGAGCTTCGCGAGTCGGGCAGTGATTTCTTTCGTGCGGGGACTCGAAAGACCCGAAACGGGAGAAAGAGACTACGAAAGTTATTTAACCCTTTCGCTACCAATTTTGTCTTGTAAAGAGAGGTTATTTTTTATACATTCTTTTTACTTTCACTTCATCAAATATATACTTTAATGTAGTTTTAGCGAGAAAATAGTGTTTTATGTTTGGCGCCAGAGGGACAGATGCCTGGATAGTGATGTCCCACAGAGGTTTTTGGCAGAGCGTATATATTTGTCCCAACGGTAATAAGTAGAGTGACAGCTAATGTGTTCTGAATGCTTGTTAAAAAAGCTGTTTATTCAATGAAATGAGGTTATTATTACAATGTATCTCGGGACATACATGTCCCGTTGGTAGCGAGAGAGTTAATGATTTCTGTCGCGTGTCAGTGATGCCGCGGGAACGTAAATTAGACAACAGAATTATTTAACTGAATTTTGAACGTCATATGTCAACGGCGCGGAAAGATTGTAAAACCTTTTCAGCTCAACATGAAATGCAGAACGCGCTCCATATCCTCAGTAGGAAAATTTATTTTTGTTCTACATTTGACTTGTGCATCTGCTAATTTATTCAGTAAAATTTACCTTTAGAAAATTATTAAGAAAACAATTTTCCGTTGGATACGAATACGTTGCAAAATTTGTTGAGGGAAAAAACTGTTGCATCCTGTCGCTGAATATTTGTTGAGATATATATACTCTATTTACATTGAAAAAAAAAATATATATATATATATATATATTCACAATAACTTATTGCGTATAATGCCGTTTTGCAAAGGTTACACGTGGGGGCGTTATCAGGTTGTTCCGCCGCGGAGAAATTCACTTCAAATTGAACGAGGAATGCGTCCGCGAAATTCCTCCTCTCGGGCGTCCAACTGCCAACGGAGATGGAGAGGAAGTTTCGAATGTAAAAACGGCATAGTTAATACGTCGAGTACCGCGAGTAATTCCGTAATTAACAACGCCTCGTCGTTCAACGACCGTCGCGATCCATCTTCGCGTTTCTAAAACGTCCCAGATATCGGTCGAGCCAGGTCGAGTGAGATTAGGTCAGGCTGCGTCGGATTAAGTTCGCTTATGTCCATATTTCATGAGGATGACCCGATGGCCAGCGCTGAACCTTGCAAACGCGAACGAACGGCGCGACAAGGCTGTTAGGCGAGCACAAATTGGCCGCTTTCCGATAAATATCGACGCGAGCGTAAAGCTGCGAGAGCTTTACGAGATTAATCGTCGTCCCTTCGGCATGACGAGCCGCAGCCATCTTCTAAGCGCGTACGCCGTCACCGTCGTCGTCGTATCCCGCGGCCTTCGCTCACTTACTCTATCCCAACCTAATCTCTCGCGAAATTACCTACCGCGAGGTGTAATTAAATCGTTACGGCAATCCCGCCGCGAGGATCATCCCTGGAGCGCTCAAAATGGCGGCTCCCTCTGAAGGCGCTCTTTGCAACTCGCCGAATTTAACAGCTCTCGAGTCCTCGCGCTTGTTGAACAGCGTTGTCGTCGTCGTCGTCGTTCTGATGAGATTATGCGATATTAATTGCGAATCTAACCCAACTTATCCCAACCTTGGGCGCGCATATTTAAGCGCCGTTTACTTGCCGACTAATTGAACCCGTCTTCCACTCTTTGACGAAGATGTTCAGCTAACCACTTCGCCTGACGCTCGACTTGGCAAGCTTGTCGCGGAAGGTGAAGTGCCCTCCATTTCTCCCAAGTCCTCCGCGTCTTCTTCCATCTTCACGTGTACTCAGTGTGATCGATCCGTTGACAAGTTCTAGAGAAACCTTCTTCTTGGAGAACACAACGTCCCGATCACTCTCCCCTATCATCTTTTATTCTCAGCCGATTTCAGAAACGCACTCACGACGTGAATCATCCTGTAGGGATGAGCGAACAAGCCGGTGAACTGTAAGAAGTCACTGGACACGTTCCAGATCGCGTCAGCGTCGCCATATTAACCCGATCTAACGCGACCCAACCTGATCTTAACCCAAACTCTCGAATCCGACCCAACCTGATCCAAGTTCAACCTAACTCAACCGAATCCGAGGCGGATGCTCACGCTTAAAGCGAAATGGCGGCTGCGGCAGCCAATGGACACGGCGCGTTGCGGCCTATGTATCATAATCCCGACAGTCCGGGGTTAGTTAGCAGTTTGTTTGTTCCCGAATATCCGGCCGGCCCGGATGCCGCATGCCGCATGCGGCATGCCGGATGCGGCGGAGCACGCGGACGCATACTAACGCTCGGCGAATAGTTCGGATGCTCGGTGCTTTTTCGAAACGAGGTCGAAAGCCGCCAATACAGCCGCGCGCGCTCGGCTGCCCAGCTCTCAGCTTACGTGGGCCCTATGGCGATGGCGCGAGTAGCGGAACGTTAACGGCGCAGGAGAATAGGGGGGAAGGGGAGGAGGAGGAGGACATCAGGATAAATCAGAAACATGGACGATGGGTCGATCTAACCGGGACACACGGAACTTTGCTCAGCTTGATGCTCATCTCCATCCGCGAGCCAATGGCCGGTGGAGAAATCCACCGTTACCGCCGTGAGTTCATTTTCAAGAATGCACGTGGCAACGGCCTTTTGGCGTTTGTTCTAACCGCACTCAAGTTTACAGATAGAGTCACAAGAAGGAGCATGAAGGCGCCCGTTGTGAGCGTCGAGTAGCGGATACGCGCATTTTGCGCGTTATTATTATAAACACACGTGAGGAAAGTCAGTCAGGACTCGTTTATCCGGCGCGCGAACGAGCACAATTAAAAAATACATCGCTCAAGTCGCGCGCGAACTTTTCACTTTGACCTTCTGAGCGAGTGTGACCGCGGAGGTTGAATTGTATCGGTGTGTGCAGAGTTGCATCAGCGCGGATGGTTTGTCATTTTTCTCTCCGATTCTCGCATCAGATCCGGCTATTAAGGGCCGATTGTTCAAACTTTTTCTAACTTCTCTAAGTTAACTGATAGTTAAATCATATGTGTCTAATGCGAAGTCTTCGTCTATGTTAAAGAAACAAAGACAGATATATGATTTAATCACCAGTTAACTTACCAAAAAGTTGGAACAACTGGCTCTAAGAGCGAAAAAACAGAAAGTCTTCGTTGAATAATGATAGACTCACCGAATCGAGGTTGTCCATTTCACTCGTACGGATTTGATTAATCCTTCCAAATTGGGTAATTTCATTTCTCTTATTTCATCTCCGACGAAACCTACTGCACCAGCTTTGTATCACGCGCGCTTCAAGCGCGTATCCGGTAGCGTGAAAAAATTGGACAACTCGAACGTGGCTTCGAGTAACATCACCACGGACTCGACTTCGCATTAATCAATTACGTTGAACGCGACATACGGTCAAACGCGTGTCCTCTTCGCTTGCTTCTTCAATTAATAGACAGCTGTTTGATTTGGAGTTTTTCGTGCATCGGTGCTGATTGAATTACCCAGGCGTCGCCCGGCATCCCGATGCACCGTCTCCATTTCCTCCCTCTCTCTGTCTCTCTCTCCTGCCGTTCCGACCCAACGACCTGTGACCTTCCGCCATCCACCATCCACTATCCGCCGGCTTCTTTCATTCGATGCGCCCCGGTCTGCACACTCCCGTGCACTTTGATACCGCATCCTACAGCGCGTTCCAAACTTGCCGTCCTCTCTATTCGCGCGAGGGCGAATTCCGTTAATTAATTTAATTACTTACATAGAACTGTATGTCGCCGTTCGTCTGTCTCGAACTGGCAAAAGTCGCGAGCATTCGCTGAGATATTTTGCTGTTGTATTTTAGCGAATGTAGTCGCGTGCGTCTGCGAGGATTTTTCTCAGATCGCCGCGTGAAGTATATAAACTTTTAAAATAATAACAATTCCTTTTTTGATCAAAGTACAGTTCGATGTGTCGAACAACTGACTTTAGTTAAATTACTTCAAGCAATTAATTCCGATTATCTAAATTTAATGAAAAAATTGGGATCAACATTTAATTAAATTGATTATTGCGAGAATTTCCAAGAATCACATTGTGACGTGATAGATGAGAGAAAGAGGGAGAGAGTTGATGTCTCGGAGAGAGAGAGAAGGATTACGAAAGAGTCGCGAGGACGAAGAGGCCGGCGAAAGTTTCGCATTAAGTATGAACACGGGGGATGAAATGTGGCACAATAAACGGAAGCGGCGGCGGAGTACTTGGTGATAATGCGGGCGACTCGCGCGGTGATTCACGGCGATGCGGTAAGCGCGAAATCGTCGGCGATATTAAAAGCGATCTCCATCCGCGCGACTCCATCCTCATCGTGTTTTCCGCATCGGGAGAAGCGTCGAGACGCAACGCGCCGACGTTAATCAACCGAACGCGATAAATCAAGCAGCCCCTTTCGTCCTTCTCGTCTCCCTTCCTCCCTCCGTCGCAGCCACCGGGTAAAGAGTGGCCCCGCGTAATAGGTAATCTCTAACCCATATCCATCTATTCGCGCGGATTAATGCATAAATGTATAAATTAATTATGTATCGGCGCGATCACACATATCATAGGCGTGATCTGAATTGCAGATGAAGAATCCGGCATCTACACAGGCAAGCCGCTGCCCACGTACAGGCCGGCCTCCCAATTGGTGCCTCTCAGGGGCACCGCGAGACTCTTTTGTGAGGCTTACATGGGCAAGGTGAACTTGCCCGACGCCAGGAACACCGTCACCTGGTGGAAAAGCGGCAGCAACGCGACGCTACCCGGCGACGGCAGGATAGCGCAGCATCGAGTGTCCCGGTGAGTAGAATAATCAGTGACGAGAGAGATACGCATAGGTCGGTGTAAAGTTGATCGCTCTCCTTTGCGGAAGCGAGCACTCGATATCGGAATCGCGACGGAGTAATGCGCGGTAGCTGCACGGACGGAAGCTAGTGCTGAAATCGTTGAGGGATTATTGAAGCTATTAAAACGGCAGCGAGATCAGGGCGGAAGATGAAATCGAGTCGTTCAATACGAGCAGAATCGCGTCGTTTTCCGACGGATTGCCGCGAATGTGTTCGGTGTGACATGTTGGATACCGCGCGCGCGGTGACCAGCATTAATTTTACCGCGTCTCTTATAAGATATGATTAGTCGCGTCGAGAAAGATTCGGCCAATGAAGGCCGACAGAAGGAAGTGTGAAAGCGCATGCATTTTTTAGTTGCATCTATTTCACTTTTGTTTGAATATTTGTTCACTTTAATTTTTCCTTTGTCGTTGAGATTCTTCGATTACATTTCTCTTTATTGTGTCCTTAATAATTTGATGTCGCCTTGTGTCGTAATTAGACGCATCGAAAGAATTTCTTAGAAAAAAGAAGAGGAGAGATCTACGCATTTTAATTATATTTATATTATTTTATATTTTTATTTATTTATTTTTTATTTGATTCTCTTCCTTCTTTTATATAAATTCTTTAATTAATTCGCCTTTACCGTATCTTTAATAATTTGGTTATCGCTTGAACTTCTGATCCGTCCTTGACAACCAGCCGACGAGAGTCAGAAAAGTAGCAATTAACTTTATCACAGAAACCAACCAAAGATACATAACTCCGTGGGAGTTCACAGAATACAGAGCACCCGTCGATCTAAAATTTACGGTAAATGTGTACTCAGTGTGCTTGCATTTCGGGCGCATTGATTCAGGAAAGCGCGCGACTCGAGGTGCTCTCTCGGTGATTTGGAAATAAGAGCGAATTTAAGCCTCCGGAACTTCGGTGCTCGCGGTAACGTTCTGTACGCTCGAGAATACACAATACACCGAGGAGGTATCGACAAAGAGAGGGTGAGGAAGCGAGACAGAATGAGAGAGAGAGAGAGAGAGAGAGAGAGAGTGTGTGTGTGTGCGTGTGTGAGAGGGAGAGAGAGATAAATGATAAATAGAATTTCGTACGTAAGTACGTAGAGCTCCGCGGCATCCTGCAGAAAGCGCGACGGCGAACGTGAACATTCAGCCGGGCTGTTGCGACCCATTCTTCCGCGCCACGCGGCGCTGCATCGCGCGCGCAACCACGCAGGTATCTGTCGTCGCGCGGAGAGCTACTCCATCCCCCGTAACTCAATTTTCCCGACGATGCACCGTCACGGTGCATCGCCACGGTAAACACGGCGAGCGCGGCGCGGCGAAACCACCGACTCGACAACACGGCCGCGCCGGCAACATTACAGCGAAATTACACTCCCCGGGCCCGCCGAGAAGGAGGAAGAGAAGCGAAAGGTGGTGGAGCAGGGACGAGAGGAGGAGGAGGAGGAGGGAGAGGAGGTGCGGTGGTGCGGTGTATGCAACGCGTGCGAGCGCGCGGACGATCCTACGTCGAATGCAATTTTATTCCGGGATAATTGGATCCACCTCGGGGGCCCGTAGACTCCGAGGCGTTCGCTCGCTCCTCTCGTCCTTCGATCCCTGAATCACGATTCCACGGCGACGGAGATTTCCAGCGGATGCCTCTCTCGCGCCGGCGAGAGACTGAGAGAAAGCGCGCCTGGTCTCGACCCGAAAATGTGGACTTTGCGCTTTTACCGAGCCACCGCCGTTGTTCACTGTCGCACCACCGTCATTTCAACGAGATCCTGCACGACTTTGCCTCCCCCCTCTCTCTCTCTCTCTCTCTCTCTCCCCCTCTCTCTCTAGAGCGTGTAATAGACAGATCTCAAGATCCTCTCAATTGTTTTCGATGATTAATTTTCGAAAAATAATTTCAAAAGTTCTATTCCGACGACTTCTCTTTCTCTCTCTCTTTCTTTATTTCGAGAATAAAACGAATCTTAGTGTATAAAATTATCGCATTATAATTATAAAATTATAAAATTCATTGCATATATTATTATGTTTTTACAATTTATAAGTAAAGATGAGGAGAGAGAGAGAGAGAGAATTCAGAGTTTCTCGAAATAAAATTTTGAATTTTTAATCGATTGTGTGCAAGTGAAATGTGTATTCCGTCAAGTAGAGTAGATCAGATAGGAATTTCCAAAATTAGATTCGAGTGGAAATATCACTTGGACTAATTCAGGGTGGGAAATTCGCTTTGTGTGTGAGTGAGCAGTCTTTTGAATTCAAGAGACTCGACTGCCATTCGTCTTTTCTCATTCGAATTTAACGAGCACTTATCTTGATAAAATTTTCATAACACAAAATTTTCTTGAGTTGCCTAAAAATTATTCAACTTTTTAACGCAATGGAGATACGAAACGTTTTCTGCGTTTGCTCGCGAGAGACAATCCGTTACCGTTACAACTTTCGCAATGGCGTGTATATGCATATGTGTGTGTGTGTGTCTCGAACGAGGCTCAATGGACTCCCCGAAGAATAGCCGCTCGCGAAACGAGCGCATTCGTCTCAAGGTGAGAGCCCGAATTCCCGGAGCGCGAGCCGCGCCGCGTCTCTTAATTAGTGGTTGGATTTGTTGCCGGTACATCTCACGCCGGCCGAACGTCGTTGTTCGCGTAAACTAGACTTTACATCAGCGGCGGCCCGGCGGTTTACAGCGGCTACGGGGAAATTGAGTTAGGCGGGAAAAGCCGAAAGGAGTTAGCGAGGAGAGGAAAGAAGAGGCGCGCGGAGAGTGAGATTTATTTTAACAATAACCCGTCAGACACGCGCACGTGCGCGAACGCGCAAACACGCGCACACATACACACACCATACAATGGCACTTGGAAATTTTCTTGGGAATAAACGGGCAAGATGGGGGACAAAGAGAGACAGAGTGCGGGACGGCCGTCGTTTTAAGTTATTCTGGAAATAACAAATGATACGTAAGAATTCGCGATATGAACGGCGGAAGGACGCGCGCGACGACAACGCGTGCGAGTAATAAAAAGAGAATGAAGTGAAATATACGTATATATTTCTTCTCTTACCTCTTTTTTCGCGCTTCTGTCTCTACGTAATATATACGTGTTCTCGATGTAATCACGGGAAAATAAAAGCAGGGCATTTAAAATCGCGTTTAGAATCGAAAGAGATATTCGGTGCGAATAAAAACAGATATAATTCTCGGCAAAAGTAACGTTTTAATTCACTTCATGCGAAAATAAAAGTGAATAAAAAAACACGCGCGCGCACGAATGAAGAGTGAAACGTGCAGGCGGATGTTATAACCACGACGGGAAATTATAAACTTATTGTAAAAAAAATTGAATCCTCATACATTTGTGATTATACCCCCCGTTTATTATTTTTAATTTTTCATCATTTTCACGTTTCATTCTTCGGCTTTGCTCCCGAACGCGGGCGGGATTAGCGGGGGCTCGCGTGTATAAATTCACGCGCGGAACTTCCGCGGAAAATATCGGCTCGTTGCGGCAAATCGAACTCGCGAATGAGCGCGACGCGTTCTGGAGTTAATTCGATTCGTCGCTCCAGGACCGAGTCGAAATTCCGCGTTCTTGAGGAGGAACTTGGGAGTGGAATTGATGACGCTCATTGTCTTGAGATAAGGGCTCGAATTAACTTACAAGTGGGACGGCGAGGGGCGCATTCGAAAAGCGGAAGCGAAGCTGCATTCAGGACCGACCGGCCGACGGTAGAGGAATAGAAAGGGGGAGGAGGAAAGGCTGGAGAAGATTCCGGAGATTCGCTCGCGCGCGCACAGAGAGGTCGGATTATTAAATTTAATTAACACCCCCGTTGAAGCCGCGTTGGCAGCCATAACCGACGCAGTCGATAAAATAAAGCCAAGGAATGTGATAAGAGAGAGACAGACAGACAGACAGATAGACAGATAGAGAGGGGGGGGGGGAAAGAGAGAAAGAGAGAGAGAGACCTACAGAGAGAACGTTAATGAGCTCCTCGTGGCCGAATATTAGCTCCTCAACGGGCATCTCTCACTGATCAACTTCCTCTTCTCTACGGGATCCATTAAACAAGAGAACACGTTATTGTTCTTGAAAAGAAATTGCTGAAAGAAAATTCTCCGAGATAACGTACAAACGATCCTGCTCTCCCGAAATTTCCTGGAGTGGAATATCACTCAAAATGGTTGAACAGTGGCGATATTCTCACTCGTAGCGATGCTGAAAATACTGCCACTCGAGATTGCAAGGGTGAATGTTTCAGTCAAACTTGGAGTGATGATTCCGGCTCCATACGAACGGGCGTTTCGGTCGATCAGAGCGAGTGACAGTATATTACGTCAGGTTTTACTCTTCAGTTTCGAGTGAAAGTACTCACTCGACGATTCCGAGTGGAGAACTCGTTCTGTACAAGCGAAAAGTCATCCGAATTCGAGTGACTCGGCGCTCACGCCAGCTTTCGCGTGAAATTTCACTCTGGGAAATGTGGAGGGTGCTTCTCACCCCCGATCTGGAAACGTTCCTCTACCAAAAGTGGCGCGACGCTTATCGGCCGAAACCAAGCAGCCTATGCAACACAACAATGAGAAACAGTGAATATGCAAACTGTTTCCAAACAGATCTCGCTCTCTCATACAATCGAGAGACTCCTCTTTTCGGCGAAGATGCAGAATATCGTGCTTGTCCGATCGAAATAAATAATCTCGTAGAACTCTCCGGATCTCTCTAATTCTCTAGGACGCCCCGCTTTGGCTGCTTTGAGGGTGTTTCAGCACGCGCCATGCAAATTTTCGCCGAGTTTCGTGTCCGATACTGTCTTGCTCTCCGTTTTTTCTCCTCGAGTGCTTTACGCGAGAGTTCTCGATTTCCACAGCGGACGTAATGGCACAAATACACCATGGCTCCAATTGTCGATTACCACGATCTTCTGCACGGTCGACGGGTATCGAAATGATATC